CGGATAATAAAAAAAAAAGAAAGATATTGAGGAATATATGTTTGATTTATATAATACACATATAATGGTGTCCAAGCGCGTTGACTTAAAACCGCCTTACGCTCGTAAACTATTATATATATACTTTTGTATTAGTTATACACATTGACTTAACACCGCCTCTGTGTCAGATAATATTTTATTGTATTATTTTATTAGTTGACATACAATGCCACCGAGTGATCATACAAGACACACTCAATTCTTAGAAAATTGCGCCTTATTTTATATGCATTTCTCTTGAACTTTTTGTGTAAAGTACACAAAGCTTAGAGTTGATCTTAGTTGAACTTACTGCATTTAACACTTTTGCACAAAAGCTCCCTTGTGCATCTTTTTGCAGCGAATTGCATTCTGACATTTTTGACGTTTGTAAATGTTTGTTTACATTTTTATAAAAAGCGGCGGTGCTCGTGGTTTTATTTTATAGTTGAATTATTTATAAATAAAATAATAAATAATTTATAAATAAATTATTATTTATTAATTTAAATAAATTTATGTGGAAAAATAATGAAGGTATGTTATATTGTTATTTTTATTTATATACCTTTTGTATTTATTATTAAAATGTTTTCTCCTAATTACAGATTACTTTACGTATTTTGTTCAAAGTGGTGGTGTTACTAAATTTATGTAGGTTGGAAATTATTACAAAATTTCCATCCTTACAAGTCTTACGCTGAAATGTTAAAGATCATTAAAACGAAACTTAAAGCGAAAAATTTGTGTTTTTGAAAAACGTAAGTCGCGTTTGTGGTGCGCTCCGTGATTTTCGAAGTAGAACTTAGGAAAAAACTGACATTAAATACGGAAGTATCGCAAATATAATATAACTAGTCAAAGAACTCACCGAAAGTGGCGAATATCGCGCCCGCGGGGTTATATTATTAATTAGTTAAATTCTAATTGTTCCGACCGGCAAAACAAAAGCATTTACTTTGCAAAGAAAAGAAATAAAAACAATTTTCGTCCGATATTTACATATTTAATAATTTATTACACTCACACTACAATCAGCTGATCTAGACAGCGCAGTGTTGCAAAACTACCAAACTTTTGCACAATACATTTAATTTTACATCGTGTAAAAAATTATATTGTGTAATTCAACTTGTGAACTTTTGTATGCAACATTAATAGCGCGGTTGTAAGTTGTGTTTTAAAAGATTAGCTAAACAGGTAAATATTTATTTATTATCACTGAAAATAATTCTGATTTTTGCGCGCCTGGCCAGTAATTTGGCTGTAAAATTGGAAGAAATTATTTTGAATTAAAAATACACATTCTACACTGCACTGTATTATCGACTTTAAATTGGGCCTAAAAGTAAATTACAATTATGGCACCTTCACCTGGAAAAAGCAAACAAAACAAAACATCAGCTAAGGAAGCTAAAGAAAATAAAATTACTAACCAAGCAACATTTGCATTTATGCGTGATTCTTTATTAGGAAGACAGAGATCGAACTCAGCTTGCGAAAGTTCAAAACTCGGTGATTCTACTCCAACCTTTAATAAGATAAGCGAGCCAGAAATAAAAGATCTTCAACAAAAAGTAATTGATTTGCAAGTATTATGCCAGCAACTTAAAAAAGAAAATGAACGTCTTAAAACGGAAAATGCCAATTTGAAAACAGAGAAAGATTCAAATTCATTACCAACTAGTTGTTCGGTGGAGAAATCCCAAGAATATGTAACAGATGAAGAGGAGCTAGCAAAAGAGACGGATTGGATATTAAAGAAATCTAGACCCAATAAAAAACGTAGAGCAGAATCCTCACCTGAGGTAATCACTCAAGCCAAAAATGTTGAAAAAACTGAACCCAATAAAAGAAGTGAGCTACGCCCGCCTCCAATAGTGATTTCAAATGTTAATCAATATCAAGAACTGCAAAGTACTATTGAAAAAAATGTCAAAAACAAATTTTCAATACGATTACTTGGAAATGGTACTCAAAAAATCAATGTTTTTGATGGAGATGATTACAGATCTGTCACTAAAAGTCTCTCAAATTCAAACTTCTTGGTTTTTGTACGAAAATAAGCAGATACGACCCATCAGAGTCATTGTAAAAAATTTGCATCATTCATGTGAAGAAGAAAGTATTGTTAGCGATTTGCAACAACAGGGCTTCAAAGCATTGAGTGCTAAAAATAAACTTAAACAAAAAACAAAAGAACCATTAGACATATTTCTTCTAACGTTTGAACATAATGAAGACATCAATAAAATATTCGGAATAAAACATATTCTGCACTCAATAGTCAAAATCGAAGCTGTCAAGTCTCCCAAACTTATACCACAGTGTAAAAGCTGCCAGGGATTTGGCCACACTAAGAATTATTGTAACAGGATACCGAGATGTGTTAAATGCACAAGCAATCACCTAACTATTAATTGCATAAAAGATGCTAACGAACAACCAAAGTGTTGCAACTGTGGTGAAAACCATCCTGCGAACTACAGAGGGTGTGTTGTAGCTATTGAACTACAAAAAATTAGAGATAAACGAATAAGTAATCAGGAACAAAATAAAGAACTGCTTAGCAAACCAAAACCACTTTCCACACATACTACAAATAAAAAGCAAAATGTATCTTATGCACAAGCAGTTAAGAGTAATGGTAAAGTCAGCTATGCGAGCAATATGGAGCCAATAGCCACTTCTAGTACGAATAAACAAAATGAAGATGTACTCACACAGATCCTGCATAAACTTCAAAAGCAGGAGGTAGTAGCTAACGCAATACAAGTCCGACTAACTAAGTTAGAACAAAAACTCAACGAAAATTCAAAAAATTAAAAATGAAAAATTGCTTAAGAATTATGACATGGAATGCGAACGGTCTGTTAAAACACCAAGAAGAATTAGAAATATTACTTAACATGGAACAAATCGATGTTTGCCTTGTGTCCGAAACACATTTTACTACACACTCTTTTATAGCATTCAAGAATTATTTCATATATCACACTATACATCCAGATAACTGTGCGAGAGGAGGAAGTGCTGTAATTATTCGAAAAAGCATAGATCGTTATGAAGAAAACAAATGTAGTACTCAAATGTTTCAAACAACAACTGTCACTGTAAAAACAAATAATCAGCCTTTGTCAATAACTGCTATTTACAGTCCCCCAAGGCATACCATTACAGCAGAGGAATATAAACAGCTAATAGGAAGACACAAATTCAAGTTTATTGTAGGTGGAGATTTCAATGCAAAACACACTCATTGGGGCTCACGGATCACAACAACAAAGGGAAGAGAACTGTATAAGGCTGCAATAGAAACCGGATGCGAATTCATTTCAGCAGGAAAACCAACTTACTGGCCGACCGATCCAAATAAATTGCCTGATCTTATAGATTTCTTTCTCACTAAAAAAATATCATCAAATTACATTGAAATCAAACAAGGTTTAGATCTGCACTCCGACCATTCGCCAATATATTTAACTTTAAGTGATACAATCATAACGAAAAATCACGGTCCATACCTAACTAATAAATCTACAGATTGGAGCCTTTTTAAAGTGTTACTTGAAGACAGTGTAAACCTCTCAACTCCACTGAGCACTTGTGATGAACTTGAAAGAGACTGTAACGACCCTTTCTCTCAGTCGTTGCCTATTTGCTGAGGTATGCTCAGTCTCACCAAAGTCGTCACAATAAATTTATAGATTGTGACCAAAATATTCAAAGCGCTGTGATTTTATTTCAATTTCTTTATTTACTTAATACTTTATTCAGAGTTCATAAATTTTAAATATTTATTTAGTATAGTAAAACAAATTAACTTTGTTCCACAAAAAAAAAAAAATAAAATAAATATACATATATGTATATATATACAAAATTTAAATATGTAGTTTTTTTTTCAAAAGGATAAAAATTTAATAATTAAATAAAGATATTCTTGGAGAAGTGTCAGTCCTTGAATATTTTTGATAGATCTTCCTTCTTCAAGCCCCTGATTTTGTATTCTTCTGACCTTATTGTTGGTGTGAGACCTCCGGTCGTATTCAAGTACAATTATGCCTTCGTTTGGAGATTTTCGTTATAGTCAGTCTCCTTTGTGTATCACAGAGAATTACTTTGGACACAGTCGACGTGATACCACCTGTCGTGTCTTAATAATTATCTAGTAATTATTCCTTCCGAAAGATATTTTTTTATATAAAATATCCTTATATATTTTGATTTTAGCAATTATTTTGGACACAGTCGACGTTAAACCACCTGTCGTGTCTTAATAATTATTATGTTTTGATTTTGATATTTTTTTCATATAAAATATCCTTATGTATTTTAATTTTATTAACTATTTGGGACCCAGTCGACGTTAAACCACCTGTCGTGTCCTAATAGTTATTATACCTTGATTCGATATTTTTTTCATATAAAATATCCTTATGTATTTTAATTTTATTAACTATTTTGGACCCAGTCGACGTTAAACCACCTGTCGTGTCCTAATAGTTATTATGCCTTTGTGCCTCTAGAGCTTAGTTGACTTGGTCTTCCAAGGTGTATGTGCCTTTGAAATTATAAACCAAAGTGTTCGCATAAATAAAATGCGCGTCTTATATACACACTCGACCGAGCTTTTGTGTAGCGTATCATTTTATTTACAGCTGATCTCACGTAATTCTTGTTTATTCTTGCCGTTCTGATGTTCTATTTCATGTTTTGTGCGGTACTCAGCTTGGGTATTTATCTTCTCTTTAAGCTTCTCTTACGGCGAATATTTTTGTTGTTTTCTTATGTTAACGCTGCTTTGTTTTGATTCTTACAAAACGTGTTTTAAAACTACATTCGGTCGGTGGTGGTTTTTTTTTTATTTACTCTTTGTTTGTTACGATAAATAAAATATTAAAAGTGCAAATAATTGATGAATATTTACAACATAAAAACAAGAAATATAATTAACAAATAAATAAGGTGAGTTTATTATTAATTTATTTAATTATATTTTTATATTTCATTTTAATATTATTTCAGCTTAGTTTGAGATGTTATTAAGGCTTGTAAGCGGTTTGGGTTTTGGTAAATGGTTGTGACTAAATATTTTAAATATTAATTAATCTATTTAATTCCAGATATTTACAACATTTATTACCAGTGAGTCTACTTTTTCCAAGTTTGAACATAACCATATAAAAAGTGTGTCGTTTTATAAAAAACTGTGTTGTGTTGATGTGTTTTAGTTCGTGTTGTTATTGTTTTTAGTGCATGTTTATGTAGCGTTTATGTAGGTGGAAATTTAGTGTAAATTTCCATCCTTACATTTCCCTCCTTCTTCGGGAAAGTTAACTGGATCTGAACCACTACCTGCTTGAGTGATTTCTATTTCGTTTCTTTGAAGATTTAAACACTTTGTAAAACTTGTCTTGATGCGTGTTAATATAGTCGTGATCGCTCTGCTGGAGTTCACCTTGACTTTCCATTTGCTTTTGCTGAGTTCGATTGCTGGAAGAATTCCAACTTCCGAGACATTGTTCTTTTATTTGCATCATAGGGATATTTACTTTTTCTCTCAGTTGAGTAGAATTATCTTTTCCTTGATGTGAAACTCGTTGTGATTCTTGAATGGGACTTGGGGTTTTGTGAGTCATTCGATGTTGTGTAGTTTTATTTTCGATGACTTTAATCTCCTGTTGACATTGATCTGATTGCTTGACGGACATTTCCTGTCGCGGTATTAGCGACGTCTCTGAGTGTACTTGATCTTGAGGTATGGAAAGTAACGATGTTCTTACTAATTTAGTCGATGGTCTCCTAAGTTGTTCTTCTTGAAGCGGTGGATTTCGTTGTGAATGTGCCTCTTGCACCTGTGTATATTCTTCAGTAGTTGTAACATGTTGGAGTCTTTGTGGTGGTGGTATTTGAAACATCGGTTTATCTTGTATGACTTGGACTAGGTTAATTCTTTCTAGATTTCTTTTGTTTGGCGTCTCGCGTTGCCGTTTTTGCTGTAGTTGTTCGACATGCTGTTGAACTGGTAAAACTCGTTGATCTTGTCTGACTGACTGTTGCTTAGGTATTTCTGGAGTTTTATTGACAGGTTTTGGATTTTGCATTCGCTGTAATTCTTCAATTTGCACTTGTTGTATCTCTTGAATTTGTATGAATTCCTGTTGGTGTAAATCATACACTTCTGGGGTTTCTTTGCTTGGTTCTGGATCTTGCGATGGTACGAGACATTTGCATGACATTTGCTCTAAATAATTTTTACATTGCTTGTGCTGTGTTATTATGCTTGGCTTAGGTAATAATTCTGTTGATGGATTGGTAATTCTAGTTCTTACTGCTGTTGTTTGCTTTGCCGTCGGTCGGTTCTGTTGCTTGTTCAAGATAGGTGGCTCTGATTTATGATGCTGGATAAGTTTATCCCGTATTGGCGTAGTGGGTATGCATCTCATAGTATTTTGTAATGGCATCGTTTCTGAGCACTCCACTACGATGCACCTGCCCATAGTTTCTTTTCGTGTACCGTCCCGATTCACTTTATGCTGTTCTCTGCGAAGCTCTTCGAAGTCATCAGCAAGTATTTTTAATTCTTCTAAGCTGGAAAAATCTCGACGTCTGATAAAGATTCGGTAGTCTGCGCTCATGTTTTGATATATTCGCTCTAATTGCGAATCTGGATTTGTGCAGGCTCGTCGCATAAGATTTTTGATGTTAATTAAATATGTTTTGAAATTCTCATTGGGTTTTTGATGGCGGGATATTACATCATCCTGTAGGTTCTCTAAATATCTAGCAGAAATGAAAAATGATAAGAAATCGTACTTGAAACGTGTCCAAAGTGACCAACGACAATTGTTATTGCGAAACCATTCTAGTGCTTCGCCTTCGAGGAGTAGAGGCATTGTTCGAGGAATTTGATTTACATCGATGTTGTACATGTCTGCTAGTTCCTCTATGTGTTCGATGAAATCTAAGGTGTCCTTGCCACCGTGATATCTGAAGGACCATTTCTCTACGTATTCAATTGTCTGACGATAAGAGCACAATGGAGGATTTATTGAACTTTCTTCAGTCCCTGGTATTCCTCTTGATCCCACCGACATTGTTTCTTCTTACGATTTATGTTGCTATTTTATGTCATCTAGTTTTTTTAGATTTTCTTTGCTTGACTACTATATTTCCATCACTATTTTAACGACCTTTGAATATTTTGGTCCCTGCTCGGGCGCCAACTGTAACGACCCTTTCTCGCAGTCGTTGCCTATTTGCTGAGGTATGCTCAGTCTCACCAAAGTCGTCACAATAAATTTATAGATTGTGACCAAAATATTCAAAGCGCTGTGATTTTATTTCAATTTCTTTATTTACTTAATACTTTATTCAGAGTTCATAAATTTTAAATATTTATTTAGTATAGTAAAACAAATTAACTTTGTTCCACAGAAAAAAAAATAAAATAAATATATATGTATATATATACAAAATTTAAATATGTAGTTTTTTTCAAAAGGATAAAAATTTAATAATTAAATAAAGATATTCTTGGAGAAGTGTCAGTCCTTGAATATCTTTGATAGATCTTCCTTCTTCAAGCCCCTGATTTTGTATTCTTCTGACCTTATTGTTGGTGTGAGACCTCCGGTCGTATTCAAGTACAATTATGCCTTCGTTTGGAGATTTTCGTTATAGTCAGTCTCCTTTGTGTATCACAGAGAATTACTTTGGACACAGTCGACGTGATACCACCTGTCGTGTCTTAATAATTATCTAGTAATTATTCCTTCCGAAAGATATTTTTTTATATAAAATATCCTTATATATTTTGATTTTAGCAAATATTTTGGACACAGTCGACGTTAAACCACCTGTCGTGTCTTAATAATTATTATGTTTTGATTTTGATATTTTTTTCATATAAAATATCCTTATGTATTTTAATTTTATTAACTATTTTGGACCCAGTCGACGTTAAACCACCTGTCGTGTCCTAATAGTTATTATACCTTGATTCGATATTTTTTTCATATAAAATATCCTTATGTATTTTAATTTTATTAACTATTTTGGACCCAGTCGACGTTAAACCACCTGTCGTGTCCTAATAGTTATTATGCCTTTGTGCCTCTAGAGCTTAGTTGACTTGGTCTTCCAAGGTGTATGTGCCTTTGAAATTATAAACCAAAGTGTTCGCATAAATAAAATGCGCGTCTTATATACACACTCGACCGAGCTTTTGTGTAGCGTATCATTTTATTTACAGCTGATCTCACGTAATTCTTGTTTATTCTTGCCGTTCTGATGTTCTATTTCATGTTTTGTGCGGTACGCAGCTTGGGTATTTATCTTCTCTTTAAGCTTCTCTTACGGCGAATATTTTTGTTGTTTTCTTATGTTAACGCTGCTTTGTTTGATTCTTACAAAACGTGTTTTAAAACTACATTCGGTCGGTGGTGGTTTTTTTTATTTACTCTTTGTTTGTTACGATAAATAAAATATTAAAAGTGCAAATATTTGATGAATATTTACAACATAAAAACAAGAAATATAATTAACAAATAAATAAGGTGAGTTTATTATTAATTTATTTAATTATATTTTTATATTTCATTTTAATATTATTTCAGCTTAGTTTGAGATGTTATTAAGGCTTGTAAGCGGTTTGGGTTTTGGTAAATGGTTGTGACTAAATATTTTAAATATTAATTAATCTATTTAATTCCAGATATTTGCAACATTTATTACCAGTGAGTCTACTTTTTCCAAGTTTGAACATAACCATATAAAAAGTGTGTCGTTTTATAAAAAACTGTGTTGTGTTGATGTGTTTTAGTTCGTGTTGTTATTGTTTTTAGTGCATGTTTATGTAGCGTTTATGTAGGTGGAAATTTAGTGTAAATTTCCATCCTTACAAGTTGAGATGTTAAATGCCTTTGGGTTTGGCTGTTGCCAAAATTCGTTGCCTCCATGAAGAAAGAGTAGACCAAAAAACCATATATGTGAATAATTGAACATTTTAACTTTTATTCCTCTGGAAATGATGTCAGCTGGATTATCCTGGATTACGCCACATGATGCCATTGATCAGCATGTGACATCTCTTGAATTTTGCTAATACGATTTGCTACGAATGTGTGCAATGAGGCAGATGAAGATATTATCCATGACAAAACAATTTCGGAATCGGACCAAAAGTAGGTTGGCACGTTTTGATACTTTAAATCTTGTTTTACTCTTTCTGCTAATTCGACTCCCAGCAATGCTGCGCAGAGTTCTAGTCGTGGAAGTGTCTGTTTCTTTAATGGTGCTATTCTAGATTTGGCGCACAATAGTCTCGATGTTATTGTGTTATCATTATATATTGCTCGCACGTACATAGCTGCTCCATATGCCTTCTCTGATGCATCCGTAAACACGTGTAATTGAATCGAACAGGGAACCGTCGAATTAAAAATATGTCTGGGTACTTTCACAGTATTTAATGTTTGTAAGTCATTTCTAAAACGCTTCCATTCTAGCTGAGCCTGAGGTAACAGTTCCGCATCCCAGGAATAGTTTTGTTGCCACAATTCCTGCATGAATATTTTAGCTGTTACAGTAATGGGGCCAAAAATTCCCAAAGGATCAAAAATTCGAGCTAAGTCCGATGCCACAATCCGCTTCGTGATAGGTTGCTCTGATGACATCTCTGCCTTTCCGCAAAATTCGTCTGATTTCGGGAGCCAAATAATGCCTAATGTTTTTGTTGGCTTTATGGCTGAGTCATCTAAATCAAGGTTGATTTCTTGGTCTTCTATCGGAATGTTTTGTAGGAGTCGTGTATTATTTGAGCACCATTTCCTCAGCTTAAATCCTGATTTACTGAGCAGTTCCGTAAGTTGTTGTTGAGTGTCTAAGGCGGTAATGATGCTGTTAGTTCCGCTTAAACAGTCATCTACATAAAAATCATTAAGTAATGCAGGTGCTCCAAGCGGATAGTTGGTCATATTATGTTTCGCAAGGTGTTGAAGACATTTTGTTGCAAGATAAGGGGCTGACTTCGTTCCATATGTAACCGTTTTCAGTCGGTAATATTGTATACTATCATCAGCACTTTTTCTCCAGATTATCAGCTGCTGTGCTGTATCTTCATCATGTACTTGAATTTGCCGGTACATTTTCTCAATATCAGCCGTAAATACAAACCGGTGTATTCTAAAACGCAACAGTATTGAAAAAAGATCACTTTGCACTGTTGGACCTTTGTGCAAAATATCGTTTAGTGCTAAACCGCTTGATGTTTTTGCTGATGCATCAAAGACAACTCTCAATTTGGTTATAGTGCTGTCAGGTTTCAAGACACAATGATGAGGAATGAAATATTGTGCTCCTTTGACATCTTTCGGGCAAACTTTTTCCATGTGACCTAATGACTCGTAGTCATCCATGAACTTTATGTACTCCTTGTATAAATTTGGGTCCCTTTGTAACTTCCTTTCCAGAGAACAAAATCGATTGAATGCTATCTCACGCGATCTACCAAGTGTTGTGGGATCATCGCGGAAGGGTAAGCGTACAATGAAACGACCATCGTGATTTGTCTTTACATGATTTGTAAAGTGATTTTCACACCATTTCTCAGATAAAGTCAAAACCCTTTCTGCAGTCTCAATGTTATCTAACTTCCAAAATCGTTCTATCATTTCTGACATTTCACCAACTTCTCCTGTAGTAATAGCGCATGTTGGTTTAATATCTGTTGTAGTTTTAGTCTTACCAACCAGAACCGAATTTTGTAACAGTGGCGAATTCTTTCCTATTATCAATTGTTCTGGTTGAAGTAGAGTATGATAGAATTCAGCACCAATCAGCATGTCAATTCTTCCAGATCTGTTAAAGCTGGGGTCTGCTAATTCTACATTCTGTGGGATCTGCCAATCCGAGATATCTAGGTCTCGTGACGGTTGTGCTGATATTATTTGTGGCAATACAAATGCCTCTAGTCTCGTCCTGAAGCTTCCATTAGTAGCCTGCAGTTCAACATTTACGCGAGATTTTGAGTTCCCGAATTGACGGCCAATACCTTCGATCGATAGATTTGAATTTGTGGTAATTAAAGATAACTTGTTGATTACTCTTTGGGTTACTAGGTTCACTTGAGACCCTGAGTCGAGTATGGCACGAACATCACACGTTCGTCCATTGTTTGCAATAATGCGCACCTTTGCAGTGGCTAGCAGAACGTAATTACGAGTACCCTTTGCATTAGTTGTTGCTGTTATGGATGGCGATTCATTAGCGTTGATCAATGTTGTGGTTGACTTTGTGTTTGTTGCTGGTGCCCTTGAAGGTTTAGGTGACTGTTGCTCTAAATGAAGCAAAGTGTTATGCTTCTTGGCACATTTTTTACATGATCCAGCTTCACAAACCTTTGCTTTATGATCGGATTTGAAACCATTCACACATAGTTTTTGTCGTTGAATCCAATTTAATCGTTCAGGAGGAGTCATTTCAATGAATTTTTTGCAATAGTAGATCGGATGTTTATCTGTATTACAAACTTTACATAGATCTGAACAAACCATAGTTACGGCTATCCTTTTGTTGGGTTTATATACTGCATTGTCTCCTAGACCTATAGGCTCAAGTGATTGAAATTTCAATTCTAAAAATTCTAAGAATCGTTTTATTGTGAGCATCTCCCTTGGGTTAGTAAGAGTTTGTTCAAAACTGCAATGTGTATTTTTATCCAACTTTTTTAGTAGTATGTGAACTAAAATTGGATCCCAAGTTGATGTTTCAATATTTAAATTATGAAGTTCACATAGACTTTCCTTTGTTGTGTCATGCATATTTTTAATGGCTTGGACTGTTGGATGGTCATATAAAGAGTTTTGAGCTGTCAAACGTTGCAAAACTGCTGATACTAGAACTCTTTTATTCTCATATCTACTTTGTAGTAATTGCCATTTTTTTTTTTTTTTTTTTTTTTTTAA